GACCAATGAGCGATAGGTGGGAGGAGGGTGGTTTGATCCTCCCACTTTGGAAGTTGGAAACAACTTTCAACAAGTCAAGATGCCTTCAGGCATTTTAGTTTAAAAGTTTAATATTCGGAAGAAAGGTTGAATGGGAGTCAAAAATTAAAGGCTAGAACTTGGCTTCCTTCACAACTTTGATGGGTGTGCCATTTAAAGATAGTTCCAGGGTCTTTATGCGGTTTTTGTATTTACGGCAAGAAAATGAACACAATTAGTTTTGGATTTAGGAAATTTTAAAGCCGTTTCAAGAGCACCATTTATTTTATCTTTGTTTAAACACAACTGCAGTTGCCACGTTCAATAGTATGCATATTTTTACCGCGACAAAGAAATGATAAAATCATCCACAAAGTGATCCATCAATTGAATCATTTTATAACCTTGGCTTCAACTGTTGATCTTGATTTTGCTAAATAAAGGTAACAGACAAAAATACTGCCTTGTGGAACACTCTGATCCTGACTGTAATGATCAGACAGGGTAGAACCCGCGGACTTGAAATTGTCTGTCGTTTAAAAAGTTAGCTATAAATTGAGGCAAACGGCCTCCGCAATCCGAAGCCATGTAAATCTCTGTATACGCCATATTTCCACGTAGTGTCATATGCTTTTTTTTCAAGATCAAAAAGATAGACACAGCGTGTTTGTTGTTTATTAAGTAGTGCATTTTTAACAAATGCGTTTAAACGCACCTAGGTGATCGGAGCAGGTACTTCTGTTTTTACGGAAACCACATTTTATATGGATCTGTTGCATAAAGGTTATAGGTTTCCAAATTGCAAACAAGTCGATTATTTATCATGCATGTTCCATGGTTTTGCAAACACAGCTTGTTAGTAGAAATCGGTCGATAATTAGGACGGATCCGTTATAGATCACGTCCAGGCTTAGGTATTGGTACTACTATAGCGTCACGCCAAGAGGAAGGAAATTTCCCTGACGTCAAATATCATCAAAATGTGTAAGAGCGTATAAAGATGACTCTGGTAGAGATGTTTCAGGAGCTGATAATGTATATCTGCACCTGTAGCAAATATCGCGAGCTTAGCATAAGAGCAGCAGTATGGAGTTCCTTGAATAGAAAATGTTTCATTATAATCTTCCCATTATCCGAATTGAAATTAATTGTTTTCTTTCTTCTTGTTTTGATATTGTTGGAAGTTAGGTACATAATTAGAAGAGGAAGAGTGTTTGGCGAAGTTTCCACTCCAGTTTATTCCCGCAATATCTGATTTATTTGTAGAAGTAATTGATCTCCATGTTTTTAAGATGATGGACACTAGATTTAGTACCTTTATACTAATTTCCTTGGACATGGGCGTTCGAGAATTTATCTTGGATACATAATTTTGCCAAGAGTGGCGTTTATTCTGTGTAATAGCGTACGCCGCGCTTTAGTACATTTCTAACATTTTAAATTTATTCAAATTATGCCGCTATAGATGGCGACGGAAATAATGTTCTGCCTTTTTTCTGTGCCTTCGAGCTTGTTTGCCGTTCTCATCGTTGAACCATGGTTTTCGGACATGTGGATTTGCAGAGGACTGTGGTATACACTCATCAGCTATGGTACTCAGCTGATCGGAAAAAGAAACAGTTAATAGCATCAGGAACGTCAGTAAAAAGTTCATGGTTCTTAGTTTTTGTAGCACACAGTGTTTCATATAAAGCCAGTTAGCGCTTTTAAAATTGTGCCTTGATGATGGAGGTACATCAGATGGAGTTACAGGTTTTAGTATAGTAGGGAAATGGTCACTTCCACATAGGTCATCGTGAACTGACCATTCAAATTCTTTTAGTAGTTCTGAATTTGTGACTGACAAAGTCGAGAGCAGAATAAGTTCCCAGCCAGGTGTGTAAATATGTGTTGGAACCATCGTTATAAATAATATAAATCATTATCTGAACAAAACTCCTCCCAGTAATTTACCTTTAGCGTTTGTATTTGCACTACCCCAGAGTGGGTTGTGTGCCATTTAAATCACCCATAATAATACAGGGCTTCGGGAATTGGGTCATATAGAGCTTGAAGATCAGTTTTGTGAAACGCTTAAAGATGGGGATATGTAGAGAGAGCATAATGTAAACGCAGCGACGTGCAAAGCGTGAGTCGCACTGCAACAGCCACCTGAAGATTAGTAGTAAGTGCAACAGGGGCTATGGATAATGTTCTGTCTGACTAAGATTGAAAGATCCTCATAGTGGCCTCTATCTGCCCTGGAGGTGAAAAATAATGATATGCTAATTTATGAAAGAACGCAGGGCAAAAAACATCTGTCTGGCTTTAAATGAAGGTCTCCTGGCAGACAGAACGCTGATGGTGCTAAATCCTGGACTAAAAAGTTGTAATTCACTGAAATTAGTCCCTCAGTCCTCTACAATTCCACTGTATAATATGATTGTGATAAACTATCTTTGGGGATTTATTGGGGATCTTCCCCGAACTTTTTGTTGGGCGACAAGCTGTGCGCCGTAGAACCGGACAGTTTCGGATACGTCCATGTCCTCAAGGGATCCATATTTGTTGTATAAGTTGATTTGATTTTCCTGACCCTTTTAGAGGGCTCTGCCACTGAGTTTTGAAAGAATCTGGCTTCTTACCTTTGCCTTTAAGTGGCTGTGTAGACTTTGATGTCGACTGAGATGATGCGCGTCAAGATCAGAGGATGTTTCCACATTGGCTTTGAGACGTACTCAGGAACTGGTTCTGTTGTTTGGGTCGATATTGCGAATTGAGAATATCAGAGGAGATTCGGATTTAACCTGCGGTCAGGTTTGTAGGCAGCATGTAGGATGGACTTGTGTTATTCCTAGTGGTTGCTTCTGACGGTGTTTGAGTGATAGAAACGCCAGCTCTCATATGCTCTGAGCTTTGAACTAGTTTTTTTGCATCAGCAAAACTAATGTTTTGCGTAAATTTGATTCTATTTATCTCCATTTGATGTTGCCAAACAGGACCAGTTTTAGACAACAGACAATGTGCAAAATATTAACCCCATGTGTGAGCTTTTTGGCATTTGAAGCATCTAAGAGGGTTTGGAATGTACATTCCAACGTTGATGTTACAGGTATCCTGCTTTTTAGTGATTTTGAGAACATTGGAGTAGAGAAAATAAAATAGATTCGTATTTGTTTTATAGTTGCATCACATTTCACACAGGTTTGTGAAACGCTTGACATAAAGTACACCTGATCCTTCATCTCAGTGACGATATCCGAGTTCTGACATGTCTGCAAACAATCGATCCCGATCCCCTGATAATTCCTTTGCTCGTGTTGAGTGTTTTGTGAGCAGAGACTGTGACTGGAATGCCGACAAAAGAATCAATACACTTAGGGTTGGTGGCTTACAGTGCCTTTTGGCACCTCAACCAGTACCAGAACGTAATCGCTTAATGTTCTTAACGTCACCAGCAATGCCTTGGCATACCTTTAGCTTCGGTAAAAGGAGTTCAACTTCAAAGGTGTCTTGTCAATGGTTTCAAGCACAAGATAACGTAGTATTAATCAATTGAGTTGGGCAGTCTGAGGTCAGTTTCAACAGGATCAATGTCAAGTTGGCGCTGGTCTTTTTTTTGGGTGGGGTGGTTTAGGTGTAAGCCATGGTAAGTTAGTAAGATTTCATCATAATCGAGCTCCCCACCCACCACGAATATCACAAAGGACAATGCTAAAAACAAGGTGGATTTCCAGCACCAAGGATACTCAGATGATATAATACGTCAGCAGAAAATTAGATTAATAATTCCACCAGATTGGCCCATGAGCCACCGCCTTCTGGGCATAAGACTCTAGGCAAAGTTCATGACATTATATTTCAAAATCACAAACGTTTTAGATAAGCAAATAAAGCCAAGACCGAAATTAAAATAATTCCAAATAAAATTTGTGCAATGACATGTATAAATATGGTCTACAAGAGGGCAGCGTGACCAACCACGATTGATAGAACCGGGACCGAGTTCTACCACCCGTCTAGGTAAAGTAAAGAGGTCAGAAGTGGTGTATTGGGCAAAGGAACAATGTTCCTGGAACCAGTGCCCTCAACCACCAGAATCCCGTCCTCCACCGACACAGAGCAAACCCACGGCAGAACGGGTTGGTGGACCAAATATCCCCAGGTCCCACAACGGGGATTGAGCGCTTAGCGTTACTCCAGCACCAACCACGAGGAGGTGGCCCTTCATGGGTGCCTTTGCTTTGTAATAAGGATTACTGACATTTTGGGTTAGGTTTGAGAGCAATTTCCACATCATTCTTAATCTAAATTATCTATGATAAATGTTAAATATTTTAATAAATGCAAGTTTTGCATAAATAGAGTATGACAGGCATAATACAAAATCCCTACATTTTATGAACTTAATGCTATCGACCAGTATAAACAATCTATGTGAGTTATGACGTGTTTGTCGTCTATCATATAATGAGCAGATAAAATGACAACAATGTAGGCATCTTGCAACATAACTGGCGTATATCTTCTGACTCTCGATTTGAAGATAATTGATGATGATTGTAGTTACAGATTGTCAGTAAATGGTGTTCATGTTAAATCTGTACATATCAGCCTTCACCACCCAATGGAGATATGTGCCTGTTGTTTCCATGAGTCTGTGGGCGTTTCAAGTTCACCCGATGATTTAACGCGAAGTCAGTAAAACAGTTCGGTCAATCTGTGACGCTAGGCTTCGTGGAGGATGTTTACAAACCAACAATCCGACATATTCTATGTTGTATTATCGATAACTGGGCACTGATTGTTGACTGTTATACGACTCACACAATGGTGCTTCGTAGTTTGACCTTGTGCGGTGTATATGTAGCTAGACCTCATCGCGCACAAACCCACAGAGGCATGCTCGCATGGCTGTTACAATCTCACAATGATTTGTTTTGAGAGGCAAGTATGTTTCGGATTGTTGGATTGGGGATATTACAAAAGGACAACAAAGTACGTCATTTAAAATATTTATTCTTAAGACGTAAAATACAATCACAATGTTATATACACGGGGAAACAATAGTTATGCATGTGAACAGTGTCCAGACATGGTTGCATATATAATACCTTCACGACAGAGGCGACAGTATTGCGATTAGGGAAGCCGTATTATGAATACGACTGATGTATAATTCACTTCCATTGCATAGGTTTTGGATTCATGTTTATACAATAATGAAAGCTAAAAGTGTGGTAATACAAGCACATAAATTAGTGGTGTATATATAATAGTACACATGATACATACACGAATGCAGGCATACACGGAAACACGCACTCATTCATTCTGTTAATAGATCTCTGACAGTGTGCAAAATCCGTTACAAAGGTAAACCAGTCCGACAGTCCGACATAGTATATGACGTTTCGTGTGTTACTCAAGATACTATGATGATTGTTTGAGAGCAGTAGATGGACAGGAACAACCAATTCATATCATGCTACTCATGAAGCATTTAGTACAGAATGGGCATTTTGATGTATGTGGGTTTGGAACATAGGAGACTCAACAGGGAGTGATCAGTTTGCTGTGTTTGCCACATTAATCAGTCTTGATCTTGAATTAAACTTAAAGGGATAATTGAGCTCCATCAGACTGCACTAAGATGTATAGAACATTCTCACGGATACAACATGCAAATTAATCTGAAACATTTGCTTTTAAAATACAATACTGTCTCACATGATTACATATATCCATGTTGATTGTGTATGTAGCGTCCAAACCCCACGTTTTCAGACAAGCTGTGTGAATGTTATGAAACATCAGAGAAAAGAACGGGGAACTACTGTATCACGACGGACTAATTGAGGGTCCGACAAACCCCTGAGGGAAAACATCAAAGCTGACGTAATTATTTTGACAAACAATCAGCAAAGTCACAAATTCTGATTCTCTCCAGTTGTGTCTAGCAATAACGACAGGGTATTGGGGAAGGTAGAAATAATGTTATAACATCCCCTGATTATCGTCTGGGACAGATGGAACTACGACAGATGGACTTTCACCAAATACACAGAGACTAACATAGACATATCATACCCACGTTCAATGAAGAAATAAACGAGAAAGGTTTAGTTGAAACGACAATATTTATTCTTGAAACATAGGTAAGCATCAAACATGAATGCTAATATGAACATATGACACACTGAGTCCATGGTGACTATAGAATGTTTATCGTGTCCTTTATTTCAAACGCACAGCCACTTTTTCACTTAATAAGCATGTAGACGGTCTCCATATAATGCAGAGTGTGAAACTTTGTCTAATTCGATCACCATGACATTGAGTCCAAATGCAACCCACCACAAACCCCAAACAATAACATGCATGACATTTAGCACAATACAATGGAATGAAAATATAGAACTACACAATACAATACATTACATATAACACGAACAATGCAACAAGACGATAAGGACAGAATCGTGCATTAGGTTCAATTTAAATTCTAGAGACATGTGAAACATGCGTTTTATACAGAATGCATACACTTACTTTACATGGGTTGAGCACTGAGTCACTGGTACAAATACGTGAGCATCCCCAAGAGCACAAGCAATGAAAGCGGTGTTTAATTACGTCATGATTTCACGTTTGGGCTTCATGTCCGGGAATCTGAGTAATTTTGAAGTGGATAGTTTCCTCTGTAAAAGATACCAAGTTGCTTGGCTACGAAGAATTAGATGTCTATTACTGAAGAATGTTGAGAATGTCCTCCCACTCTATCGTACATCTGTCATTGCATCTCCATAATGCTCTGACGAGGACCAGACCAGTGGCAGATCTGCCGTTCTTCTCCTTCCACTTGGTCAGCATGTGTACAATCTGCATATGCAGTGAACATGGATGTGCAACTTTGCCCTGCTCCAATTTAACTAGAGTAAGTCCAAGCTCGATCCCCACTGACTCGTATCCTATACCAATGTGGCTTCCAACACGACTGAGATTTCGTGCAGATACAGGTGTATCCAGTTGGTCTTCAGTTACAGCAAGTGCGTGGCTCCATGGTGTCTGCCCTACAAGAATCAAATCACAATAAGCATAGTCTGTACCAATACGTGTGCGTTTTATGTATTAGATTGACATTCAAAATTCACATAAATTAGTGATTTGTTAAAGTATGTTAAAGTAGGAAAGAAATAGTATAACATGTAGCTAATATACCGGTATGTATAAAGAAAACATTTCGGAGTACACATAGAAGGATTGGACCTGATAAAACATATTAAACTAACAATCCTTCTTTTAATTAAAAGAAACCATTAATACGATTGAACTTGCCTCCATGTGCCAACTGGTGTTCATACTGGGAGGCAATGTGGTTGTTTGTGTTGAACAGTTTCTGGAACCAAAACGTACACAATGAAATGTATTCCTTTGGGCTTGTAGAATTTAAATACAGGAGGTTAAAGAAAAACTGTCCCTTTTGGGGCAAATTTACAGACACAAACACACACATGAACTGTGACGCAAAGACAGTCCAGTAGTGAGACACGTCTAGACCTACCTGATATCGGGGTCTTGGCCAACATGAAATATTACCCATGATGTTGGTATCTGTCGAGTTCAAATAATGAATGTGATAAAGTTCCCTTCGCGTTTACTTATAGGCTGTAGTGGGGATTCCCCGTTTGCTTGTATAGTCTTGTGCCCCTTGATGTCCGCTGCGGATTTTCGGATTCTAGGAGCCAGGACAGTCTTTCTGATATCAGCGGCGACGGTACAAACGCATTCACCATTTACTGGGTCAGTTTTTTTAGTTGTATTTAATGATGGGTTTGTTCGAAGTGTAGGTTCATTGAGTTAACTTTGATATTTCCCGTCATTTTGTAGAAAACTAAAAAGCCATGCCTTTAAGAATGCACTCTGTCACTCACTAAGGGAGGGTAGTTTAGGCCATAAACATAAGAAATATTTCATCCTCCATTCCTACGACATTTTCAACATTTTAATTGAAACCTACCCATGACGAGAGTACATTATACAGCACAATACACCACAACACACAATAATCACGTTAGAAAGTCTGCGCTAAACTGGGTATACTTGGTGCTTAGTATGCTTGACGCAACCCCCCCTGGTTCTATAATGCATTATGGAACAATATTTACAGTGGGAACATTAACCTAGGGGTAAAATAAAGTATATATATTGTTTATAATGTATTTGAAAACTACAAGAACTGTTTTAAAACTTGATTATGTATTTTAATCATGCATGAATGCGCAAAAAATATAAATGCACACAATGTCACAGTCCGAAAATCCGACAGATGTCAATCATGTCTATAGATATATACATGTATATATACATATATATATATCTATAAGTATCTATTTAATAATGATAACAATATCAAACATGTCATAGAAAATACCGAGAGGCATTCATTGAGTTACTCTTCAGTTTATTCACTCTGACACACTCAGGCCGGTTTTACGTGGCAGTGTTCTGTGATATGACCTTTTTATAACATGCTCGTTTCCAACAGAATTCTGTGGTATTCTAATTGTTTTACTGTCCATTGTCGACAGTTTTTAATCTAAATGTACTGCTTGTTTATGTAGAAATTATTCTCGTGACGATATGCTGAGATACTACTAATGTGGCATTAAATTTTCCCTAACTCACTCATGCGTGCAGTTACCTTATGAGATGGATACAAATTTTATCTTACTTTGAAAACATGAGTAGCATCAGAAGAGGAAATACGCATTGATGTACAGAAATACAAATGCACACAATGTCAATCTCCAGTCCGAAAATCCGATATATGTCAATCAAAGCTATATATAAACACATCGTTAGATGACTGTACGCACCGGCGTGTAGTACACGAGTAAATGTGACAGCACTAAGGGTTTGTCCTCACTTTGCCACCAGGTCACCAAGGATAACTAAATTGGTGAATATATAAATTATTAAATGAAGGAATGTGATAAACCACAGTCGTAGGAAATCTCTGCTGAATGCCGACCCTTTAAGACAAATGACGGATAGTATGACTAATATAATCAATTCTTGTGAACACAATGCGAACACAACTTTTTCATGTAAGTGTTCAACTGTGTACGTGTAGCTAGAAGCAGAGCGGTGTGCTTGAATGACATAACATCTGGCTATCATATGTGTTTAATCGAACGATACCGACTGATTAAGATTTCAAGTAAACTAATGCATCATTTTTATAGCAATTATTGTATGTTATGTATAGTATATCGAGTACAATTTGAAATTCATATTTTTTAATTTTGTGTATCAACACAAGTGATAAACATAAGCTATATGTAATATGTATGTATATGTGTAGACACATTCTACAACTGAAACTGTCTAGATGGAGTTGTTATTTACCTTCTTAGTTTTATCAAGGAACAGAAAACACCAACATTATTCAAACAAGAGATATGTTAATTCATATATATATTGTATTAGTGTTCAAATAAACAACTGTATAAACAACTCATTCTAGTTCTTGACAAGTGATACACAAGCCAGCCTGGTATTGACAAACTATTACATTTCCCATAGCATTCAGACTTTCACTTTATTTCCTTGTTATTATACACTTCAATCTGTCCCTTTAGAACATCGTGTTCACATATGTAAAGTTTAAACAATTGTACAAGAACAAACGTAGACAATGTACTGTCAGTCGTCAGTACTGTAGGAATGCGTTTGCAGATAACCCAGCTGATCAAAGGGAGGCCACTCTGTCAACTCTCCGGATTGTGGACATGGGATTTGGGGAATGAGAAACATCCCTATACTAATAACGTTTCCAGTTGTATGAAAAAGAAGGCAGTTTAGATACAGATATGGATATGCTGTGTGAGTGGATTTCGTAAAATTAAGACAACAGCTGTCAAATGAATTAAATGAGGATGTACAGATTCTAAGACTAGACACCTAGACTCCATTTACAGGATGTATAAGCAATGTCTATACTGGAGTTATCACCTTGTGTGCACACCCTTTCACACTGAAGAGAATTCTAATAATTCTGATTTACAACAAACACAAGACATTTCAAAACAACAGAGGCGGTGGAGAAACTTAGGAACACTGTTCAGAATTTCACATCAGGGAATGTATGTAACCCAATAACTCGGTACATATTATGTCAGTATATTACTGCAGCAAGGTGTGGCGAGGTATTCACAAACAGGGAAGTATATCGCCTTCAGAAACCATGCTCTCAAGTTAAACAGCCTCGTTATGATACACAACCAAACTGTAACGTCGGGAAGAAGGAATTTACATCATAAATATTACTTTTTTGGGTGTATTTCAGCAGTTGATGAATGCTTCGTATATCACTTTCAACTACAGATTCAGGTCATGATGCCTTGGCACAGAAAAGCTATTATGCTTGTGTCACGGATGGGATACACTACATGACACCTACGATGTCTATTTATATGTTTACAAATGGCGTCCAATCCACCCGAGCCTTACCTCACAGGAAGAACATCAACCCTTAAAGTGGAGGACATTGTAAAGATTCTGAGGATTCCAGATGAGAGCAAGGCCATCCAGACAGCGCCCGCCACACCCCAGGGAGGGGAGGTGTACCTCTACAAGATAACCCCGCGTATGAGAGAAGGTGAGTCAGTTTTGTTCAGATTCAGTGTTAAAATGAAGTAAGGGTCGATGCATAGACACAACCTAAATAGTCAATGAAAAGCTGATATACCTTCTTATACCATCTGATATCAAAGGGTTGTTAAGCAGATATCATGAATATACTCAAACACAACATGCATGTACACCAACATGACATCGAATACCAAGGACATGATATTCATTATGTAACAACAAATCCATGCAAAATAAAAATGCGTGATCGAAATAGAATACCATCAAGTAATGCTGAGTTCTGTAGACGCGTTCTGGTCGTTGGTTATGCCTGTAAAGTCCTTGTGAGTTTGGATAGTTTTTGACTAGGTGAGGTTGCATTTTCCTAATGTTCACCTCTCTTAGTTGAAACCTCCTCATCATACGAACTATAAGCATCTTGAGGATGGCAGCAGCAGTAGCGCTCTTTCATGTTATGTTGTCAATTGTATTTAGATGATATCTGGAAGGACGACAGATAATATCACTTCAGGAGTGATGGTGGAACCCGGAAGCATGTAGCAGCCTGCCTCAAGTCCACTCATAGTGAAGCGGTATTACCACAAGGCTTACACAAGGACAGATGACAACAAGGGCGGCGTTTGTCCAAGAAGCATCCTCTGTACGACCAGCCTGGCAAACGTCCTTGTGCGGAAAGTACATCAGGGACCACACAGGCACAAGCTAGTGGTCTCCTCAACGTAAGAGCCCGAGGTCGACAACCACTTCATCCCCATGTTCCCCTAAATATATGAAAGCTGAGTCAACTAAAAGAGACTATATGCAGTCAAGATTGTTTGAAACATGATGCCCTGAACGGTCATTCATCACCAAGGAACTTGAAAGGAAAAGGAGATTTAAGTAAGCAACTGCTGATATTCCTGTTGAATGATGCTACAATCCAAATTACGAAGGCCTGTGTATCGCAGACATCTGTCTATGGAACAGAAATGATCCACTTGACATACCCAGAAACGCTGCAGGAGTATAGATAACATAGTGATGATGATGGCATTGACTATTTAGGTTCAATATCAGGATCCTCGGTCAAGAAACCACGTTTGATCTCAAGCTGAAAGTGACAAAACAGTTTTAAACTATGGCACTACCACAAATATACTATCTGTATATAGATTTCTGGAAAGGCTAGAAAAGAACCGGGATGTGATAAGGTCATTACAACAGATCCTGGCATTATCTAGGTTCTGCACCAAGGGATGCACCAACAGAAACGAAATGCTTGCTGGACACTCATAGAGAGAAGTGGAAAAGTGGACCCAAAGATGCAATAAAAGCTTCAAAGGAACTGGGTAAAATGTTCTGTGAATACTGACGGTCTAGACTTCAACCGGACGGTTTCTATATAAAGCTCATAGCTGGGGTGCTTGTTGGAGCGTGTCGCCTGGGACTGAAGTATGGGACTTTGTGACGAAACACTGGATGATCATCACCACCTACAGCAGCATGTGCGGACTGCCTGTCCGCGTGACTGGCCGTAATACACAGTTGGCTACACCATTAGAGGGAGATGTTCTGTATCGGCTGGAAACCAACGAGTGGCATTTGACCGATGAAGTAAAAACTAGTTGATATACATAGGAATGTTAAAGGTCACATACAGCAAAAATCAAACATAATTAAAACGCAATTATCGCTTCTTCCTATGGCATATAATATACATTACTGATTATGAAAAACAAAATAAAACAAAATTATAAGCGTATAATCCCCTTAAAATCAAAAGTGCAATATTTTGTACTTGGGTTCCACCTCCCAAGAAACAAGACAGCCGGGATACCGAACCCAGTCAGAGCAGGTGGGTGTGCACTCAAGTGTAACAGCTGGTTCATTAGCAAAACCCCCTCACGGCTCATTATTGTGTGTGTATATATGAGATGTGTGGGTTTTGCTTAACTACATACTGCTCATTTTTGTGTATATAACATTTGCAATCAACAGACATCATAACATGTGATTCAGTATCAAATTATCACACCTGCCTGTGTTATTGTACATATATATAATGTAGACAGGGAACGGGCGCCATAAATCCGTACGTTTTGTTTATGGTGTATAGCCTGATATAGGTGTTCAAATTGCAGTTAGAGTACATGTGGTCAGTGATAGCGGATTGTGTATTGAATATTGTCACATAGCAGACGGGCAGGCAGACCTACCTGAGTGTCAATAAACAAGACATTGAGTTTTGTCTGTGACAGCAACATATCTATATCACGGTTAGAAATTGTATGTCGCTTAAATATGTGACAGCATTGCTTTTAAAGTATCGAACTGAAAGTGTTTCGGTAAGAGAACGTTATTGGTGAAATAGACAAATGAAATTACATATAAAGCAGTTTGTTACTGTCATAACATATATATAAAAATCTCGCACCTGTGGATATCAGCAAAACATGATTGCAACATATAGCTCGCAAAAGCCTTCACCAGTGTTATTCACCAGACAACCCAGCGAAACATGAACCTGTTGCTAACGCGTGTGCTGTGAAGCAGTAATCAACACTGATGGCTTTCCGTTTTTCAGAAAGGATCTGGGGAAAATTGATGTGAATCGTTTGAACTCCGATTTCGCGCGTTTTTCATCGCGTTATTTTCAACTTTAAAGGTTAAGATTTGCATTTTTTCGACGATTTGTTTCGCTATATCCATACCCGAGAAGGTATCAAATCTGCAAAGTTGTGTTTTACGTTGCGCATGACCATTAAAAATGTAAAATTCAACGCTATCTAAGACAAAGGGTTTCACTTAACGCAGTTTAACACTACTTCCTTAAAACAATTAAGGATATTAAAAACATATATTATGATCGTCAACAACAGGTCGTCAATAGAAATGCCATCTCTCTAAAAACCTTTGACCAACCACGGCCTGTTAATCTTGTACGTGAACATATTACTCCATGCACGTGAATTGTGGGACTTATTCGTGATACTGACATTTCAGTGATGGTCGCGCTGATAGTCAACACTTAAGCTCTCTCTTCTTCCATGTACAGTATTTGTGATGACATTAGGACGTCTGTAACGTGTGAATTGACAAAGAACTATTATGATAAGCTGGTAGAAGCTGAATGAGCATTAGGACGTCTCTGTAACTTGATGAACGACAAAAGTGTTGCATGATGAAGCTGGTAAACCTTCGGAGATGGCGTAGAACGTCCTGAACGTGATGGGTGACAAAAACTATTTGCATGATAAGCTGAAATAGATGGCTTATTAGGACGATAATCTATGGAACGTGATGAACGATAAAGAAACTATTGCATGATAGAAGCTGGTATTAGAACCAGATGACATTAGGACGTCTCTTAACGTGTTAGAACAGGCTATTGCATGATACTAGGCTGGTAGAACAGATGACGATGGGACGTCTGTAACGTGATGAACGTAAAAGAAGTTATTATTAGCATGATAGAAAGCTGGTAGAAACAGATGACATTAGGACGTCTGTAACTTGATGAACGACAAGAGCTATTTGCATGATAAAGCTGGTAAATAGATAGCATTAGGACGTCTCTGGAACGTGATGAACGACAAAGGCGTATTTGCATGATGAGAGCTGGTAGAACCCAGATGACATTAGGACGTCTGTAACATGATGATGAACGACAAGAAACTGGTGCATGATAAAGCTAGTAGAACCAGATGACTAGGACGTCTAACGTGATGAACATAAGAGCTATTTATGATAGAAGCTGGTAGAACCCAGATGATGACGACATTAGGACGTCTGTCACGTGATGAACGCGACAAAGAGCTGTTGGCATTATATGAGACTGGTGGAACCAGATGACGTGGGACGTCTGTGGCAACGTGATGAACGATAAGGCTATTTGCATTAGAAACTGGGTAGAAGCCAGATGACGTGGGACGTCTGTAACGTGATGAACGACAAAAATATTATGGAATGATAGAAGCTGGTAGAACCAAGTAAGAGTTGGCTGGTATGTACATTTGTATGTGTGTCCAAAATTGTGGTTTACTGTCTTTCAAACAGGTGTATTTTTCCACAAATGGTAACGAATGATTATATTGCTGTCCACTTGCACTTGGCTGTGTGTGTCCTATGACGGTGTACAACTTTATTAACGGAAGGTAGAACTTGTCACTACCTGCTGACGTGTGTTCGACAACCACATGTTGTCCACAAATCAGCAAATCAATATAATTTGCAATGAGCCTTAACTAACTATGCTTAGATCGTAAATCTGGACGACGCCAATGATCCGCCACTAACAAGGGGCTGGTGGTAAAGTGAAAGTTTATTTTATACCTCCAGCAATATTCCAGCCATATATAGTGGTGGTTTGTAAATAATCAATCGTGTTTGCTGGACAGACAATCCATGATCAACAGCATGAACGCATCGATCTGATAATCATGAATTTGGTATTTATTATGGATTATATCTACAGTACATGTCGACCTTATGGACATTGTACTGATTCTAACACACATCCTCAATTACATCGTCAGTCTTTGGTAACAAGAAACGCATTGTCCTCTTGAAGACAGCCACTGTGTACATGAACCTTTAGATCCAGCTACAAAATTTCACTTGGGCCCTAAGCAGTAGATTCGTAATCTGTACAATAAAATAATATAAAATCCAACTCTTACCTGGATTAGATCCGCGGAGCACCTACATAGCACCTTCTGTGAAGAGTGCTGTTGTTCTCTTCTTCCACTGCTTGGTGCTGCCTACAGAGACCATAAATGAGACAAATAGGACTTCATCATTCCAATAATAAACTGACAAAAGTGTCGCATCTAGCATGTCAACTAGTGACTCAATCAAGCGTTTCTACTACTTTGTAGCGAAATGCAGTGTAGAGACATGTTTACAATATCAGGCCTTCCTTTACGACTCACCTCAAGGAGACCACAGATGTCGGTGTGTTTTGATGCATGTAAACGAGCAGCAATGCCTATTCCAGAACCTCCGTCATTTATAGCGTACGGATTATG